TCAACCTCTCTAATATCTAAAAATGGACATAAATTGCTGATTTTGGAATTTTTTGGCAGTGATTTCCCAGACTGAATGCACTTGTGGGCCGAGTGGGGAGAAATTAAAAAAAAAAAAAAAACGTAATTAACGATAATATGTGATATATATCGTCATCGTCTCTCTCTTGCCGTTTGGACTGCCGAGCGGTAACAATCAACGACACGTGGAAGCAGTTGAGTCAGAGATAGATGCCTCGTTTACGAACAACAAAACCCGTTTATTAAACACTTAAGAAGCTTACAAGATTTCCGCGATCTTGGAAGTTCTACGTCGGCTGCGGTCTCTGGGTCTTCCTTTCCTTTCCAAGATAGTCCCATTTTGAAGGAGTGTCCCTTGTTCGCGAATGAACAATTCCATCGACGACTCCGGGACGATGCTGTCGACTTCCGTTGATGGAAAGATGTCGATCTGAGGTCGGGAGATGGAGACGAAGATAGGCGCGAGACACACACACAACAATAGATCTGTCACTTGGAACTTTCGGGAGAAGAAGCCGTCGCGTCCTTGAATGTCCGGGGTTTTATCCGTTTTCCTCTGATTTCACTTTCCGATTAGTCTCTCCTTGTCACCTGATGACAATTCGAAACCTTCCGGGGGCGCGGGAGAGGTCAAAATCGAAGTTTAATTCGATCTCCAACCGGAGATGGTCGACGGACTTACATTCTTCTATCTATACTAATATTATAAAGAGGTAATGTTTGTAAGTTTGTTTGCAGCAGGTAATCTCCGAAACTACTCATCCGATTTCAAAAATTCTTTCACCAATATTTAGAATGGAACCTCAGGGTGGACATAGGCTGTATATTATTCCGTTAAACATTCATATAAATTAAAAGATATCATCTAGGGTTAAGGTTTTTATGTCCAACAGATGGCGCTACAAGTACGACGCCCTAAGTTTGCTTTTCTGTGAGGCATTATGCTTTTCTGTGAGGATGAACTAAAGCAGATCATGTTTTATCTATCTATATAAATAAAAATGTAATGTTCGTTTGTTGTAAATGTGTAGTCCTTTCAAATTTTCACACAACGCTGCATTCGAATACGCACGTGTTTTTATATAATATACGTGTCGATTCCCCCCCCCGAGAGAGGGACAGGATTAAGGCTTACCGTGAAGAACTTGGCTTCTGTTATACTATTTCAGATGCGGTTTTTTGCGTTTTTGATTGCGTTTTAATAGGGTACGTCAAGAAAATGTACACTAAGGGATTTTTCGAAAAATTTTTCCCACGGGGGAAGTGTTATACATTTATAATAGATACATTTTGAGCGACAATAACGCCTGGCGGGGTCTGCTAGTTGTTTAATAGTTAGCGTCGCGTTTTCATATAAAAAGTCTATTTCTAACTACAGTAGAGCGTCGTTTATCCGAAAGTCGGTTATCCGAAAGAATTCCAGTCGGCAAATTTAAATTTTCGCTAGTGCTGTGGCGCTGCAATCTTTGGCTATATCTTGGGCTACTCCAATATTTTTTATGTTTATGTGTGTTTTAGCTGGCAGCACTGTCACTTTGTGTGATGTTTTTCTGAGGATTGTGTCATGCTGAATGGAACGTTTTTGATACTAGATAACTTCTAAAATATAATTTTTTTTGTTTTTATATTTTTTAATATATTTATTTTGTTTGTACAAACTAAAAAAAATAATTTTTAACGATACAATAGCCACGATTATTATTTTAAAAAGTATACGTTAGGCTTAACATCGACGAAAATTCAACGCGAAGCGACACGCAACGGAGAAAATTTTCAACATGTGATAAGTTAATGTATTTTTTCGTACATAATCGGTTATCCGAAAAATAAGTTATACGAACAACCCCAGTCCCCAATTGATTCGGATAAACGACGCTCTACTGTATTATATTTTTTTCTTTAAAACAAAATTATTTTAACGCGAATTTTAGTGAGGGTTCGGACTTGTTCAGAGCCTCACACTTTATTTCTTCCCAAAAGCTTATTGTTTGAACATGTTTGATGATGTAGATTAATAATCCTTCTCTTAATTACTTGGTTGTAAGATGCTCATATATCCTATAAGGAGGTGATAATTTTGCATTTGTCATAAATCTTAGGTACCAAGCCATGGTTCGTTGAAGTTTTACAAATGATATTTTAGAAATGGCAGACAGCTCTTCTGTGCTTGTGCCAACACTACAAACAGCATGTTTACGCTCCTCCCTTAATGCTGCATCACAAATAGGTATATTCTTGGTGAATAGGGTGTCATTGGACAGCAGCCATTTTGGGCCATTCCACCATAAATCATGTTCTACAAGTTTTGAAGGTAAGAGTCCACGTGATACACAATCTGCAGGATTCTTGTTTCTGTCAACGTGATTCCAATTTTCCGCAGGCAAAATAGATTGTATCTCTGATACTCTGATATCTCATGCAAATATGGAATTAATCTTAATCTGAAGTGCACCTTGTATTGCTTGCACCAAATGAACTAATAAAACTGCTGCACATAATTCCATCCTTGGAATTGAAATAGGTTTTAACAGTGCTTCACGAGTCTTCGATGTTAGTAGTCTAACCCAAAGATTCATCTGATGATCGCACGTAAACAACTACTCCGTAATCCTTCTCTGGCGCATCACAAAATGCATGAAGATCAACGGTCGTGTAATTATGAAATAGCGTTTTTGTAGGAATTTGAATGGATCTTAACTGTCCTAATTCTTTACAAATAATCTTCCAATTATGATCAATACACAGAGGCACAGGTTCATCCCAAGATAGTTTAATTTAAGCCTCCAGATTTCTTGCAGTAACATCTTAGTTAATATTACAAAGGGAAAAATCCATCCCAGTGAGTCAAATAACCCGCAATAGATGACAAAATTGTTCGTTTGGTTGAACTACACCGATGATGTTTGAACTCGAAGTTACATATGAAAATATCTTCTCTGGGATAATTAATTCAATCTATCGCATTAAAAAACGTTTTTTTTTACTCTTCGCTCTGTGAACAGTAGAAAGACCTTTTTTTCTAGGTCTATCGTGGATTCAGCCAGACTCGTAATGGGAGTAACGGGAGAGGCAAGGTTGTGAGAGACGGTGCCCAAAGATTTTCAGGACGACTTTCCTTGAAACATTTCTGGAATTCTCGTCCGGATTCAATCCCGTGACTACCATGTGAAGTTTTCCAGATTTTCTTCATTTAAACACCTAAATAGGGACCAGTTTATCATCGAAAGTACTCCCGGGAGCAATGTTCCCTCTAAATTTTTTTGTAGATGAGCGGAACATATACTTCTCTGAGCAAAAAAAAATTTGTGCTGAGCATATATATATAATTTTATTTTTTCGTATAAAAATTAAAATAATTAATTATAAAGAAGAGATTAAAATTCATTTTAAAACATACTTTTATACAAAATATTAACTTTTGCCAATGATTTAATGTATTTAATCGAAATATACGTAGCAATAATCATGTTGCAGACAGAGTGAGAAATAAGTAAACAACAATTCAAATCGGTGTGCTCGCCTGCCTGCGATGCACATAAATTTTCGTGCGCGGCAACAATTTGAGCAGTGCGCGGCCGCGCAGCTTAGAGGGAACATTGCCCGGGAGACACCCCTGACAGATCCATGCATTATCCCATCTATCCAACTCCCAGAGTGACAAACCGATATTTTTTCCGTCTCGATTATTCGGCCAGCTTCATTACCACACTAGCCATATTATTGCATTATTAATGCAATGGTTTTTTACTAGAAAGTACACTTTTAAGACCTTGTGTACAACCTCCAAGATCCGAGATAGGATCTTATTCGTGTACATGGTCGTTTTAAGTACTTTTGAGGCCCTTGGACCAATTTCTTTACAGGCATTATACGGATACGGATATAAGACAGAAATATCAGTACTGTAATAAACAGCGAAATGAGGCTCTAAGAAAGCGAGTATGGCGTGACACGGCTTTTACATTATATAAGCTCTATAAAAAAGGCCACTTTCATTAAGTATATCTCCCTTAGTTACATTAAAATTTATTCTCTATAGCAGTGTTTCTCAACCTCTTTTTCATTGCCGCCGGTAAAATTATGGATAACTTTATGTGGACCAGTAATTATATGCGATTATGAATTATGCTTATCCAGAGTTACTGTACGTCACAAAGCACATACAGAGTGCTTTAAATTAGTAACTCTAGATTACTAATTTAAATGTTACCGTACTCAACTGCGCCGGCATCAGTAAGGTCAAATATTTTTCTTCGGACAGGCAATGGAGAAACACTGCTCTACTGGATAGCCACAAAACCGCATTACTCTTAAGTTCATTAGTTTATACCAGTGTTCCGCAAGCTTTTTCTATTCGCGGTACATCCATGACTCGACTTTCTCAACACGGCATACCAAAATGTTATTCCCCTCAAAAGCGTATGATATGATACTATTAATTAACAGAATTACGTAATGCCACTAACCTATTATTATTATTATTATTATTAAACAAGACATCAACACCCGTGAGCAAATTTATTTTACATTTAATTTCTTAAAATACATAAAAATGGTGGCTTGTAATAAAGAATAAACGAACATCATCTTATTTCATAAGTGCTGCGGCACTTATGAGATAACACTTGAAATACAAGCATAAGAAGCACAGCAACTGTGATAAAAATATATAAATAAAGCTTGAAATTAATAGAATATGTAAAAGTTCACGTCACACCTTACACTTTGTGACGGCACACCGGTTGCGGAACATTGGTTTATACAAATCATTTGTTTTGTACCGGTATAGCAGGTTTTTTGATAAAAAGTAATTATATAAATAAGGGGATAACGGAAGATTGTGGCCATCCTGTAGAGTCGTAATGCAAATTAAAATCTAGGTCATCTCCAAACTCCGAAAAACATGGGTACGAACCGCGATCCGCCTAGGATGAATACGCAAGTACAGTACACTGCATCACTTGATCGCGCTCACTCATTCAATACGGCACCGGTAACAAACCGAACGTGTTTACTCTAAAATGTCCTTGAGAAAGAAAGGGATACATCTACGGAAGTAAATCGTGAGTTAACTTAGTATTTAATTTCATTTAGGGCAGTAATACTCTTTAAATTATAGTTTCTGCATTTATAAATTAATCGGAATCAAACAGAAATTTTATGTAGATGGAAAATGGTAGATAGAATTGTTTGGAAATCTCTAAGGCATATTAAAAAGGAGTTTAATATTATAGTCTCAATTAATTGTACTTATTCTGTTTATATAATTTACGAATTATATAACAATTTTAAATAATTATTAAAAGTTCAGAAAGAAATATTAAAATTATTAATAAATTACCACAAATAAAACTTAAAAATACAGGTTTTTAATTTCAAACTAAAATAATAAGTATGACCTAATCATGATACAACAATGAAAATTCTCGTTGAGGCAATTTAACGGTAGAATTGCTTACTCTAAATTGCGGTAAAATTATAACGCCATCACTCGGAAATATTCAAAACTAATTTTTTTAAAAATATTTATATTAAAAAGACGTTAATTTAATTTAATTTCGATTTTTGTGAAGTTTCTTATTAAATTAATAACATATTTCACAATTTCCAGAAAATAAATGAAACCAGTCACGTGGCACAACGCTACGATTTCGTGCCTTGATGGTGAGTTAAGATTGTCCGACCTTTCGAATTTATCAGTTATATGCAGAACTCTCGCATTGATAGCATATTATCCGATAGAAGTACAGAATTTAAAGTTCATTACGTGAATTGTTTTCCTTTTATTAGAAATTCATATTTACAGTAAAAAGGAAAATAATTTTTTAAAATGCTTTTTAAGTTCGAATAATAAACGAATGCGTAATTTTATCAATCGACAACATAAACTCTAATATATAAATTTAAGTCCAGAAACCGTAAAGTGTTCTCGATTGCGATCAGGAACCCACAACTTTAGATGTCCAGCTGAAAGAATTAAACATTTTCGTTTTTTTTTATTATTTTAATAAAATATAATTTAAGAATTACATTAAAAATACAAGAGATATAAACTTTAAAACAGATTTTATAATTTTTAAACGAATTTCTATTGTTTTATTTAAAAATCTCCAATAAAAACAAATTTTTAAATATACTGTGTTAAATTTACATACAAACTGAGTGACTATTTTTGTCACTAAGTAATTGTTATACTCTATATTTTTATGTAGAGTATACTCTATATTGTTATACTCTATATTTTTATATAGAGTATAACAATTTTTTTATATCCTACGTACCGAAAAATGGTTTTAATTGCACAGTAATCAGAACCGAACACATCCCTTCAAATAGAACAGAACAATAAATCCTACTCATTCTTATAATTTCAATAAAATGTAATTTAAAAATTATGTAAATATACAACAAAATAAAGATAAATGTGAATATGTCAATTCTCAGAATAATCCAAATCCTTGAAGGTTAACTCCCATTAAGTTAACTTAATATACTGTATATGTAGATTATATATTTTATATTTGAAAAGTATTTATACATTAAATAAAGTGAAAATAATAATTAAATATTCTTTGATGAATCTTTAGTATTGATTAGGATGTATAATATAGAATAAATTATATTTTACTTATATTAAAGTTAACTGTTTATCACTTTATATACAAAAATATCAAGAAAGATAAAATAAAAAGGATACATTATAAGTCCACACGTTTAAAATTTTTTAATATAAATAATTATAAATTAAATAGAAATAAATAAGCTGTATGTTTAGATATATATTAGAACGTTAAAAGAAACTCAGACCAAAAAATTGACACGTGGATTGTTCAATAACGAAATAGATTTAATTTCTAAAATAGAATACAACCAATTACGTAACCAGCTTCTCGTCAGCTGAATTAAACGGATTATTTTAATTGATTACAGATTTACTTATTTAATGAGTAATAATAGGCGTTGGTTTCGTGTTGATTCTTGAAATGCCACGTGACTTTCTGAAGTTCATAACTTGCAAAATTCAAATTGTAAAACAATTCTAGTCCAAAAGTATTTTTTTAAGCTGTAGGCAGTAATAATATAATTAATTTATATAAATAATTCGAAAACTTTTTAAATTATTTCATCATTTTGAAATGCAACATATTAGAGATCAATGGATAAGAGAATCACGTGATCTTTCAGGAATAAACTTGAATGTACAGTATAGTTTTAAACGAATTGTTTGAGCTTTTCTTTAAAATGTTTTACAGAAATCAAATTATATTTAAAAAATACAATATAATAAACTACGTTTAATAATTTAAAAGTAATTAAATAATTCTTATTAATTTTATATTTTTTTAAAAATAGAAATGGCATAAATCTGAAAGAATAAATTATAAAATGTTTTATCAAATATCGTTTTAATTACGAAAATTTGGAATTATGTTTCAACGTAAATTAACAAATAAGAAGTTCCGTTAATTAATGGTAAGTCGGAATGTTTTTTATCATTATTCATTTTTTTAAACTTTAAAGAGATTGGATGATGAATTTACGTTTGTTAAAGCCTATTGGTTAATGCGTACTACTCTGGTGGTTATTGGTCAAAATTAGCGCCAACTATGAATGAAAAGTAGAGCTGTTGGAGAAACTTGTTATTGTAGCTGTGTGCATTGCTTGTCGGAGTCGACGTAACGTACGTCTCTTCTATTTTAACTTATTTTTCGTTTCGTAAGCTTGAAAGAATGTCTTCTAAAGTGCTTAAATCCATGAATAAAAATGGATATACCAAGAATTTCGCTTCGATGAAGGAAAATATGGTAAATTATTTTGTATTATATAATTTGGCGCGAAATGTTGTTAGATGATTTGGCGGCATTTTTTAAAAACTGGAAAAAAATGACGTTGGAGAATCGTTTTAAACTTTCGTAAAAATTCTTTCTTTATTTTATATATTCTTTAAAGTGATTGTTTTCTATTTATTTTTATCTGGGTAAACTAACGGCACATAGGCAGTTTTATAAAGACTTTAATAATTTAGCAAGTTATGACGATTAATATAGTTTAACTTTTTAAAATAATCAGATTATAGATTACACTATTGAGTATTGTTTTATTGTCATTAATGAAGTTTCTACGGTAATTTGCAGTACAGCTAATGAATAGTACAGGTTGACTATCAAAAATGTTTTCCTTGGGAGAACACTGATTCAAATTAACGTTTCATTATTTCACAATGCACAGCAATAGCAGTAAGTGGATTTCTCTGAATATATTTGTACTGTTACAAGATATGGAATAAATCTTAACACAAATATAGGTATTATATATTTTAAGAAACAAATTGACATTTAAAGTCAACAGTAATTTACTATAGAAAATTTGCTTTTAATTGGATACGTGTTTAATAGTTATTATGACACAAAAAAAATACATTTATCACTTGCAACAGGCATTCTAAGTAATTAGATGTAAGGGAATATGCAAGAAAATTATTTTATAATTCTTATTTAATTTTTTAGATCTTGTATATTTTCATCTCAGTTTAACTCAGTAACATGTTTGTATGTAATCTCTGTTTTTATGTGACTAACATTTTTGTATTGAAAAAAAATATTAAGTTTATGCAATTACATGTGTGTATATGTCTTAGTTTGAAATTTCAAGAGAGCCATTTTAAATATTGAATGATAAAAGTAAAGAATTCATAATTAAGGATGATGATTTGCATGATTATATTTTTGGGCAATGTCCATTGGAAAGCTAAAAGTGTGTTATAATTCATTTAGGATATGTAAAAAGTATGAATAGACATAACTATTTGTTAATTGCTCTTTTAATAAGATCTATGTGATAATTAATTAATTACATATATATGCATGGAACAATATAAATTAAGCTTGAATTTTGTATTAATAATTTTTTAAAATGTTATTATCAATTCTAATACATTTTATCCCTTCTGTATGGTTTATGGAATGGATTTAACACAAATGAACATTATGATGAATTAAGTAGCTAACTGATTATTAAAAATAGTAATAAATTGCAAAAATTGAATATTTTATGCTTAGTCTTTTGTGTGCTTTGTTTAGGATGGTGCATTACTGGAGAGAAAACCAAGAATTTTGCAAGACAGTCAAAAGCAGGTAACAATTCATTACATATGTTTGAATTTTTACTCTGGAATATACTATTGATAATAAGTACTGTACAGTAGAGTCTTGATAATTTGATCATTCATAATCAGCTTAAATTCATTTGTGCCAAAGATTGATCGACACCTAACGGTATTAGCGTGAACTACATAATGGCAGCTGCTATGGGTATAAGGTCTGTGATCAGTAAGAATAGAAGTGTTCAATCTACAATGATAAATAATAAGTATTGTTGTGTATTTGGATGTAAGTCTATAGGTGCTTCATACTCAGTACATATGCACACATTCCCAAAAGATAAATTACTGGAAAAAAGTGGGAAATAAAACTGAAGTTAGGAAAGCAATCAACAAAATCTATGTATGTTTGCAGTTTGCATTTTGACAAAGATGATTACTATTTGCCAGGTAATAACAACATTTCTTATAAGTATATTTTAACTATTATCGCATATGGTACTTACGTTTCCATGTTCTCATCATTATTTAAAACCTAATTCGTATCCAACTAAAAACATACCGATAAAGAAGTTTGATACAACCACCTGAAAACAGATTGCTGAGCAAAGGTTCATTTGTGCCCAAAAAGACAAGAAATACGGAATAAAGGTTTCTTAATTTTCATATTTCAACTAAAGCAGTCACCAGAAGTAATAAAAGCCTTATTTATGTCAGATGCATTTCTTTAATAATGTTATGCCAAAACAAGATCTTATAATGATTGAAATCAATAAATTTTTATTGATTTTATATCTGGCAAATAAGAAAACTTCTATCAAGGAAAAATCTACATATCTAATAATGACACCAATATTTTGGAATTGCCACAGCCCAGTATATCCTGGTCTAAATCATGTATTGACTACTGTGCATGTAGAGATCAACAAATGATGTCATATCTTCATCCTCTATTTGTGATATCAGTATCACAAACAGAAAAAGATGCAGCTATGGCACTCTTAAACTTAAGTGAAAAATTCAACATTCAGGAGGAGAGGGATATTTTAATGGAAAAAGGAATTCAAGTGAATACACTTTTACATTCAATCTTAAAATTTACTGTATTTGACTTAATAAAATCAGACAATGAATTGAATATTTTCACAGATTTAAACAGTTTTAAAATGCTTGATACCATCTCTGCCTGTGTTGGTGAGTTGCAGTCCAACATTACTGCTTGTAAACCTACTATGATGTGTACTAAAGTCAAAATTGTTCTTGTTATGATGAAGTTAAAACTGGCCTTGTCTTTTGCTTGTGTTTCAGTTTTATTTCAAATTACCATGACATGTAGAAGAATATTTTTTAATATTATTACTTATCTGAGCCAAGTATTAAGTGCTGAAATTGTGTGGCCTTCCAAAGAAAAGATAATGAAAAACTTGCCTGTGTGCTTTCAAAAATACAGCAATGTTTGTATGGTTTTAGACTGCACTGAAGTTTTGGTTGAAAAACCAAAGTGTATTAGTTGCAGAATATTAACTTACTCCCATTACTATCGTAAGCAGACTGTTAAAGTATTAGTTGGAATTGCCCCATCTGGTCTTATCACCTATTTAAGTAAAGCATATGGAGGTAGGGCATCTGACAGTCATATTTGAGGAATCAAATTTGTTAAATTTACTTGATCCTTATGCAGATCAAGTAATGACAGATAAGATAAAGGTTTTCATATAGAAGATGCTTGTTCTGCTAGAGCTATTGGTTTAGTATGTCCACCATTTGTAAGGAAGCAAAATCTGTTAAGCAAGCACAACGCACTGGAAACTGCAGAAATAGCATAGGCCACGGTTCATGTTGAACAAACTATTCAGAGTATGAAACTATTTGCCGTTTTAAAACAAAAATTAGACTGAACTTTACTGCCACACATTGACAACATTCTAACCATTATTTGTGGTCTAGTAAATTTACTTAGACCAATATTGGGTGATGACAAATTTTGAAGAGTGGTGTAAGCATTTTCATTTTGATGCTATATAATGAATGAAACAGTATTAAACAGCAATTTAATACTGTTTTTTTCATAATCTTATAGTTAATAAGGCTTATTCATTTTTGTTTTTCAATTTTTGTATGATAAAGAAATCAAACACAACTTAGGACAAAACATTTCATTCCAAAACAAAAAATAATAATAATAATAAAATCAGACAATGAATTGAATATTTTCACAGTTTTAAAATGCTTGATATCTCTGCCTGTGTTGGTGAGTTGCAGTCCAACAATATTGCTTGTAATTATTAGTACTTAACTCTCTAATTATTTTGCATAAATCTGTAAGAAAATATCTTTCTTTGTGAATTATAAATAAAATACTGAATAAAAGAAAATGACTTTATTTTAATTTGTTGCATCATTTATTTTGTATTATTTACATAAACATTATGGGTGTTAATATTGTTATAAGCACAGCCGGCCCTACCATAGGGCGAACGGAGCAGCTGCTCCAGGCACTAAGTCCTGGGGGCGCCTCAGTGGAAAGAAAATTAAAGGAAAAAATATTTTTTTCACTTTTTGATATTTTAATTGCAAGCGTGTGGCCAGTATGTGAATGACCTTATCTGTTGAAACGCGTGTGGGTTGAATGCGTTGGCAGGGTTCCATTCCCGGGTGCCATAATAGGATCTCGCTCCATCCTAAAATTTGCCTTGGGCCGGCACTAGTTATAAGTTAATAAAATTCAAAGTACCGTGTATTTTCTTCACACTTTTTCCATCAGAAATCACTGAGATTGTTGTATTTTAGATTATTCTGCATAGATAAGAAAAAATAATTTTGGTAAAATCATAAAAATAGCTTTTCTGTCAATTTATGAATAAAACTGTAATCTGCTAAAACTTCAAGGGTTTTAAGGGTTTGGTTTTTGCTACTGAATATTACAAAATCACATGAATTTAAATTTAATGAAGCCAAACCTAATTGGACCTGCCCATAATACTTATGGTTTTTTTAAAGCTGTAATTGCCATGCCCATCATGTACTATATACTTAAGAGATTGCACCATTTCTCCTGCAGATTTTTCTGTGCCAATTTTGGGGCACTTTACTTATAGCAGCTTGATAGGTTTTTCATTGTTGAATGCAAGCCCATCAGGAGAAAATGCAAAACATGGTAGTAATGGTGAAATTATCAAACCAAACTGTTTGACATCACAACCATAGAGGTTTCCATACAATGTGAGTGCTGTTTTTTCCCATTTTTTACCATACTCTGTATTTTCATTTCCCTTTACATTTGCTTCTAAATATTTGTTAACTTCTTTCACCAGTCTGCATTTTTCCTCCTTCCATAAGTATATAGTTCATATCACACTGATCCTGTCACTCCAATACTACTTTCTTCCACAAATTGTTATTTTGTTCTATTGTCAAGTGGCAAATGTTTTCTATCTCTCTCTTGTTTTTGTAAATATTTTCTCTGTAGTACAGTAGAGTGTCGATTTTCCAAAAGTCAATCATCCGAAAGAATTCCAGTTGGCAAATTTAAATTTTCGCCAGTGCTGTGGCGCTTCAATCTTTGGCTACGTCTTGGGCTGCTCAAATATTTTATGTTTTTGATACTAAAGTATAATTTTTTATTGTTTTTATATTTTTCAATATATTTATTTTGTTTGTACAAAATAAAAAAATTATTTTTAACGATACAATAGTCTTTGTTAGGCTTAACATCAACAAAAATTCAACACAAAGCGACATGCAACGGAGAAAAATTTCGACATCGGTTACGTTAAACTATTTTTTTGTACGTAAATCAGTTATCTGGACAACCCCAGTCCCCAATTGAATCGGAAAATCGACGCTCTACTGTATATTGAACCCTGGCAAATATTTATTACAGTCCATATAGTGTTCAATTATTTTTAAAACTGACCAGTGTGGTACAATATTATCAGCTGAACTTTATACAGCTTTGGCTACTAAGCATATTCTTCCAATTGAATGCTTTGCTAAAGCAGAATCAGGTAATTCTTGAAAAAAGCGTTCTCTGATAGCATCTCTTTGGCTTTCATTTAATGAAAGAATTTCTGTTTCCTTTGTTTGGATATGGCACAAATTTTCAACTCTACAAGCTCCATATCTCCTATCAGACCTGCTTGACATTTTGCTCCAATACTGCTCAAGATCAGTACAACTCAAATCTTGAGCAGGTCTGTACTACCATACCTGCAAGAGAAAAGTACTTACTTACTTATATCTTCTTCATACCAAAACAATTATTAGTTATTTGAGTGTTTTACCTGTTTATATGAAGCAGTGTCCCTATTGAATTCTTATAGTATCCTGCTTCTCCTGCTATGCAAGTACACTGAATAGGTGTTATCAAATATTTATTGAGTTCTGAACTCCATTTTATATTTAACGTGATTTCATGAGGTTGTTTTTTGAAACAACACTAGATAAGCAGAGTGAAAATTTTTATTTTGGGCAATCCTCATTATCTGTCTGATATATTCCTTCTGCAATGCTACAGCAAATTATCTGTTTTAGCATTTCCTATCCTTCTAGAAGACATCTTTTTCGATCACCCACATATTCTAAAATGTCACAAAGTGAAATCATTGACATTAATCCTAGTTGATTTTGTAGTTATGTCGGATAAAATGTTTTCACTACAAAGAGAAAAGTTATTACAAATGAGTCACTTGTGTGTTGTCTATGTTGACAGGCATGCTATACCCGTTGTGACAGCCATTTTAGTCGACTCATACACCATCTATAGTTAGTGGCACAAGCAAATTAAGCTTTGAATATATGGAATATACATACAATGGAAAATAGTAATAAGTAAAGGCAATAAATATTGTCATGTTTATCATTAACATGTATTATTAAATAATTTAACATTAACATTATATAAATAGTAATATACAGTAATACCTCGACTCACGCTACCCAGAGTTACGTGATTTTCAAATCTCGTTGATTCGTCTTTTTGAGCGCCACGCAACTATTGATTACTCATCCCCCCCCCACGCTATTGTTCAGCTTACATGTTTGGACGTGTCGCGTGGAATCGACACATAGCTACAATTTATTTTGTGTTATTTATTTCTGTATTTGTTATATCTATGGAGACTCGAGACTGTGGTGATTTCTTGTAACCGTGAATGAATCAAAAGACGAGATAAGATTAATGAGAACATTTATTAGCTTACATACATCCAACTTGGATTTTACACAAATTGCGAATTTATACCCCGACTTACGCTCAGTCCCACCTATCGTGTAAGTTCGGGATATTACTGTATTGCGTGTAAAATACGTAATGTCCTGCACAATAAGGGTTAAGTGGCAACTGTATCTGGAATTATCTGGCAACCATATCATTTCACAATGCAATAAATTGAAAGTCATTGTTAGATCTTTCAATGTACTTACAATTTCAGTGTCTCACATCATACACTTTGATTTGAATTACCCAAATACTGTATTTACTCAACCAAAATGCATAAAATTTCATGTACAGTACTTTGATTTAAGTGGTAATCCTCAAACTATTGAGACTACTGTAATGCTACTCTTAGAGATCTCTTTAGTTTAATAGTTCAACAAATTTATTAATAATCTTTCAATAACTATTGAAAGATTATTAATAATTTGTTACAGATTGGTTTAGAAACCAAAAATAGATAAGTTTATGATTAAAGTTTTATGCTTTCCTTTCTGACCATTAATATTATGCATTTCTAGTGTTGCATATAATTATAGAAACTTTATAATAAAGTTTGGACCAATGCATATGAAAGCAACAAAATTAAGACCCCTATTAAATGTGAATGATGGGTTCAACCAATTGCATATTTTAATTGTCAAGGTCAAAGGAGACATTTTATGGGGCATGTTATTATGTTCTATGGTGACTTAATTTTCTATTTATGTCCATCTGTCTTTAATAAATGTGTTAGAGTTTCTTTTGTGTATTATGAGTGATAAAGTATTATTTTAAAAACTTAATAATTTCTGCATTAGAGTAAACATTCTTCACTTCTTTATTGAATTACTTGCTTTTAAATGATTTGTATAATTAAAAGAAAAAATTTTTTCAGAATTTGCCACATGTTTCAGAGGTGAGTTCAATTTCTTGGAATATTTAACAAATAAAACTTCAAGTGAATTTTAAAATAATATGAATTAATTTATTTTTTAGGTGACAAAAACTAAGAAGCAAGTGAAACCAATTACTTTAGAGTCAGATGAACCACTGTTGCGAGAAAATCCAAGACGCTTTGTCATTTTTCCCATTGAATATCCTGATATCTGGCAGATGTACAAGAAAGCTGAAGCTTCATTCTGGACGGTTGAAGAAGTTGACCTTTCAAAGGATCTTTCTCATTGGGAACTCTTGAATGATGATGAAAAGCATTTTATTTCTCATGTATTAGCTTTCTTTGCTGCTAGTGATGGCATAGTAAATGAAAATTTGGTTAGTCTAATTATGCTTCAGTTCTTTTTGTATGATGTTGAAAAAACTAACAAATAAGATATTTGTTTATAAATATTTGATTTAATTGATGATTATTTGGTTGTTTTTAGGTAGATCGTTTTAGTCAAGAAGTTCAAGTAACCGAAGCACGCTGCTTCTATGGCTTTCAGATTGCAATAGAAAATGTTCATTCAGAGATGTACAGCCTGTTAATTGATACATATATATCGGATCCTGATGAAAGGTAATGCATCGTTTGCATAAATTAAAACCAGCAAAATGATTTGCATTGATTTTAATTTATTCAAAGTTAAAAAAAGATTGTATAAATGGTAAACTGCTGATTTTTCTATGTGGAAATGATGAGCAAACAGTTACTTATTTTTATAGTAAACATTATTCTATTGAAAATAAAATTACTATGAAAGTACATTAGATCAATATTATTATTTCCTTTGTGTTAGTTATAATGAGCAATACATTTGTATAATACATTATATAATATATATTTGTTATATATATATTCTCTCATTGAAACTAATGGATTTTTGAATGCAACTTTAAACTTTAATAAAGATATTGAAGCCAGTTTTGGAACATTTTTATATACTTTATATTGGTCTCTTTGTGGATAACCTTTGGCAGTGCACATCAGACTGGCCAGATGGCTGAGTGGTCAAGGTGGCAGCCTACCATTCTGGGAGACCTGGATTGAATCCGGACAGGTCAAAAAATCCCCAGAAATTTTTTGACCCATCCCTTACCTGACTGCCCCATTGTGAGCCTGCTTAACTCATAATGGGCTTGCTAAAAGAGGCCCTTTTACAAGGGGACCTTACCGTCTCGGAAATTCCTTTCGGGATGAGACTTTGCAGGTTAGTATTAGGTTGTTCGGAAAGTAAGTTTGTTTTTTTTTACCACTAGACGGATTAATCATATTTTTCTTGCAATTTTCATTCTAAATCGTATTATCTATATATTTTTTGACAGCTAGCATTTTAAGGCATATTTGTAAAAAATTTTGTTTAATTTTGTGCAATTGTTTATTTTTTGTGTCTCATCAAACATGGAAGATCGAAAGCATCATTTTCAGCATATTTTGCTTTTTTATTACCAAAAAATCAAAATGCTGTTCAAGCAAGAAAAAAATTGTGGTACATGTATAGAGATGATGTGTTGACAGAACGACAGTGCCAAAACTGGTTTACAAAATTTTGTTCTGGCAATTTCAATATTGAAGATGCACCACGTTCTGGATGGCCAGTTGAAGCCAATGAAAACAAAATAAAGGTACTGATTGAAGCAAATTGCGGAATAACAACACGTGAAATCACTAAGAGATTAAATTTGTCAAATTAAACTGTTTATGATTACTTGAAACAAATTGGTTTCATTTCAAAGCTTGATATATGGGTTCCACATGTTAAAGAGAGATGCTCTCTTTGGTGTGATTTTAAGGAAATTTTTTTGGAGTTTTTACCAGACAATTTAACAGTTGATTCGAAAGTGTGCTGCCATCGAGTAAACAAATTGAGTAATATCATAAAACAGAAAAGGTGGCCAGAATTGATCAACAAAACAGGTGTAGTGTTTTACCACGATAATGTCAAATTTCACCCAAGTTTGGTAACTCAGAAACTGTTATAACTTAGATGGGACATGCAATCACACCAACCATATTAGCCAGATTGAGCACACTCAGATTATTACTTGTTCCGGTCTATACAAATTTTTTTAAATGTAAGACATTTACTTAAAATGACAATGTCAAAAATCACTTGGATCAGTTTTTTGTAAGCAACGATAAAAACTTTTATGAATGTGAAATCATGCTACTACCAGAAACGATGACAACAGGTATTTGACCAAAATGGTCGATATATAATTCAATAAAATACAGTAGAGCGTCGTTTATCCGAATCAATTGGAGACTGGGGTGGTTCGGATAACGAATCATGTACGAAAAAATATATTAATTTATCCCATGTTGAAATTTCTCTCCGTGTCGCTATCCTGCGTGTCGCTTCGCGTTGAATTTTCGTCGGTGTTAAGCCTAACGAAGACTATTGTATCGTTAAAAATTATTTTTTTAGTTTGTACAAACAAAATAAATTTATTGAAAAATATAAAAACAATAAAAAACTATACTTCAGATGTTAATTCAGTATCAAAAACGTAAAATATTTGAGTAGCCCAAGAAATAGCCGAAGATTGCAGCGCCACAGCACTAGCGAAAATTTAAATTTGTCGACTGGAATGCTTTCTGATAATGGACGTTTCGGATAACCAGCTTTCGGATAAACGACGCTCTACTGTAATTATTTATTTAAAAAATATTGTGGTTTTTTTCACGGGAAAAAAAAACAAACTTACTTTCCGAACAACCCAATAGTATACCTCAAGGGTGTCCACCCAGAAGAATTATAAAGTGCACTAGCCAGAAGATTCCGAGAAAAAGCGCTCTAAAGTTTTAAGCAGAGCACGTATACTGGTTGATTTTACACTATGGCAGCACATCAAAATGACTGAGTCTGAGACTCAGCTATTTCACTGTGCTGCTATAATGTAAAATCGACCAGTAATACGAGCTGTGCTTAAAACTTTAAGAGCCCTTTTTCTCGGAATCTTCTGGCTAGTGCACTTTACAATTCTTCTGGGTGGACACCCTTGAGGTATATTACTAACCTGCAAAGTCTCATCCCGAACTGAATTTCGGAGACCATAAGGTCCCCTTGTTAGTGCCCATAGGGCAGAAAGAGTTAAAAAAAAAAAAAGTGCACGTCAGAATAAACTTAGAGGTATTAATAACAAAAAACCACTTGAACAGAAGTTACTAAAATGTTTCTTGTTATTGATAAGTAAAGTTATTAACTAAAACAGAACTGTTGTCATTACTGTTTTATATTAATTTAAAATTTTGAAAATTGGATTAATTTTTTTATGCTGTAACAGCTTTTAGATATTCTGAATAAAAAAACTAAAGTATGAATTATCCTATGAACACTTGTTTTGATCAAGAAATAATTATGGACAGAAAATTCAAGATACCCTAAAATTATTTGGTGCTTAATGTTTTCAACATGGACATTTGGTTATATATAATGACTGATTTCAAGGGCCATTAGAGAATATTGTAGTTATGACTTTGTTATGGGATCAAAATTGTTGAAATAACCGTAATCTTTATGGGTGGTTTTGATCTTCAGGTAATTATATATCAGTGGTAGTTTTAAAAAGTTTATGGTTTACTAAATATTGGAGCCAGAATATTGTTTGGTCAATTATTTTTTAACATATATAAAAAGCAATTAAATAGTAGTATATCTTTTTCATTGAAACTAGTTATATTTTTATAAAATGATTTCTAAATACATTTTTTTGTTTTTTTCCCTCATTTAGAGATAAATTATTTAATGCAATAGAGACATTACCCTGCGTCAAAAGAAAAGCTGACTGGGCAATAAATTGGATAAATGATCTGACTTCCACATTTGGAGAACGTGTTGTTGCATTTGCGGCAGTCGAAGGAATCTTCTTTTCTGGATCGTTTGCAGCAATTTTTTGGTTAAAAAAGAGGGGTCTTATGCCTGGATTAACATTCAGTAATGAATTAATCAGCAGAGATGAAGTGAGTCATCTAAATTTTTAATTTAAAAGTTGCCATTTAAGATTGTTTGTTTTTAATATGGTCTGTGGATAAGTTTAACAATGTCAGGTCACAAGTTATGTGGCCAGATGTAATGGGTGAAAACAAATCTAATGAATAAATCAGGGTTGTGGAGTCGGAGTCGTGGAGTTTCGGTGTTTTAGCCGGAGTCGGAGTCATAAAAAAAAATCCGCCGACTCCGACTCCTTTTTACTTATGTATATAAAACGGAAAAGTATTGGAATCGTGTCAAATTTGACCCAAGTTATTTTTGCAAATCTACTAGTTTGGAGACCTCCCGAACCAATCAAAAAAGTCAGTAAAAAGGAAAATTCGCACACGCGTGTGTGTTAACGTCTAATTTGTTTAATTTCTTTATTTTCTGTTCTGAGATATTAAACAATATCTCAGAATGGGTAAAGTTTAAGAAACGAAATGTGGCACTGTGGCTTGCATATAAAGGGGCATTAATACTATTAAATTTTGGTTCTTAAGTAAAGGTCGACAGGGTAAAGACCTAAAAGTGGTCATGTGTCATATCTCTTAATGAATATTTTACTAGTTATTAGCATTCAAAATTTAATAAAAAATAAAATAAAACTCGTCTCTACCCTGAAAGTAAGCTTTTTAGCCATTTTACAATAGTACAGTAAAACCCATTAAGATGTTCTCGCCTAAGATGTTAGAATGTATATGGGGACACGATTTAGTTCAACCACTTTAACGCTTAATAACTAACTCCTGTGTTAAATTACCTGACTCCGATTCTGACCACTCTGACCACAGAAATTATTAGGCTTCAAACAGGGTGAACAAAATCATGCTCCCCAGACAGTCTGACATCCACACATAGAAAAAAACCTTGAATCTTTTGCATATCTCGAAATTTCAAGGTGTCCCGAGTCCAAAAATATAAAAATTTGGGAGGGGTCATTTTTGAGCGAGCGCTATACTTTTCCTCTGTTATATATAACAGCCGAAAAGGTAAAAATTATCGAATACATATTTATATATTACTTAGAGAAGTCTTTTAGCTTTGGAATAAAAAGTTTGTACGCTCTATCTTTATTAGAACTCTATTTAGTGAATCTTTTATTCTGAGGTCACGTGATGACATCAGAATTTCCGGGTTTCTTTCGATAACAAGTCCGCCCCTGGTCGGAGTCGGATGGTAAGGAAGAGTCGGAGTCAGGGTTGGAGTCGGTAGATTTTTACGCGACTCCACAGCCCTGGAATAAATGTTGTGTGTTGTGCAATGTGCATATTTTTCCAAAAAAAGCTGAAAAATTGTGATTTCTCATTTTTACTAAGGCTATTAGGCAGTTTTCTATTATTTTGTACATTAATATTATTTCTTCAAGTAATGCAGCTGTTCCTACTTTAGAATGTTGAGAGGTTGACCAAGGAATTGAGAATAATGTGATAGAATAAACTAGCTTATTTTGTTACATCATTTTGTTTGCATTGGATCAGTCAAAGCTGTTTCACTGGCACTTTTCTGTGCTTAATAAATACATGTTTACACCACAGTCATTGAACAAGTTAGTACAAACACCTATCAGGACAAGAAAACTGAAGTATCACATGAGCAGTTTTGGAATTTGGATCATCTTTAGTTTTGATTTTGTTAACAAAAAATTAATGGTGGAAAGTAATGCTATTGTGTGTAAACGAAATGAAACATTGCTCAATCAAACTAGGACTATCATTTTAAGTGTGTATAATTATTTTTGTTATAAAAGTGAATTTATATAATTAAATGTGTTTATAACTTATGTTGACAATTATTGCATCATGTGCATCAACTGTCAACATTCTCTGAAATGATTTTATGCAAGTAGGAGGTAATTTTCAGAAATTTATCATCTTTCAAGATGCACACATAGTAGGAATATTTAATATCAGATTTCCAATAAAAATTTGGGGTTTTACAATAAAATCTGTTGTCTTAGTGATGTATGAATGTGTCAATGCAGATTTGGGATGTGTAATTGTTGTTGTCTCAGATCAAGTCCTTGTATGAAGATATGATGACTCCATTGGAGACTATACAAGTGCTAAAGTTATTTATAGCTTTATAAACAGTGGGAATCAATTTATTGGTAACAGAACAAACTGAAATCATGATTATAATGTTTCACAAGATAATGGAAACCATAAAAACAGTAAAACAAACTAAAGCTAGAAAATCATTCAAAGGAACCTATGCTATAGCTTGAAAGTAAAGCAACTGAAGGCAAAGTAAATATAAATGTTTTGTTGTGTTCTGTGAGGAAGTGGTAATATTTTTACACTGTTCTAAAGGCCTAGAGACCAAAAAATATCCTGTAAACAATCCTCAAATTGCTGGAAGAGTTAAAGTTCAGTCAGTCTAGCTGCCCCTTAAGATGCTGTTCAGCACTGCAGAATACTCTGTCTTGCTACACTTCAGCTTTTTACCTTCAGAATCTTGTGTTTTTGCAAAAATATAAGGTTAATGAACATTTCTTGGCACTTTAGTATATTGGCTGAAAGACAGCAAGATTGGGATTTTTCTTCCACAGCACAGCATTGTTGCAGAGTAGGATTTTAATTAAGAGGTAGTCTGAACTTGTAACTCCTGGTACTAAAACAAAGCATTCGAAGAACTATGAGACATTTTTGGATTCCTTAGTCTTCTAAAACACGTAAAAATACTGCTATTTTCTCACAGAACCCTCTACATAATATACCTGTATGTTAAGATGAATATGTATATTAAGATATCATAAGTGAGCAAAACATGATTGGTTGATTTATCTGTTTTCATCATAATTTTGGAAATATTCTTATGGATGAGCAGATGAAAGTTTACTGATTGATAACAGAATTTTTCATTTAGATCAGGAGTCACCAAACTACAGCCCGTGGGCCAGATCTGGCCCCGCTGTCACACTGTGCCACAAATGAGCTAAAATTATTTATAAGGAAATATCATAGATTGTAAATAAACTTCCTATGTAGAAAAAATTTTAAAAAGTGTAAGTAAAAATGCTAAATTTGTCCAATCTGATTTTTGCATCTGACAGTAATATAATTTTTAGGAAAATCAGTGAAATAAAAGATATGGTGACTTTTTGCAACTTTGGATATTAGAGCACTTTTTCTGTATGTACCTGCAATGAAGTTTCTAAGAAAAGTGATTACGAGCTTGCTGCAGCAATAGTGTTAGTGTATTGGTAAATAAAAACGTTGGTCGTCTTTATTTTTTGTGTATTCAGTATACCATATTGAACAAAATGGTTGAGGCCCATGCTCATCATTCTGTTATATGGCCTGCTGTGAAAAAAGTTTGGTGACACCCCCCCCCCCCCCGATTTAGACCCTCAGTAGGCTTGATATCAGCAAGGAATTTCAAATGTTATTCAAGTCTAGTAAATAAATTTTCAAGATTTTAATTTTTCTTGCAACTCAGCAGGACAGTAACAAAAATGGCCAGTTTGTGATGTCATGAAATTACTCATGAATAAATTTAATTCATTATTTAGTGTTATGAACTGAGTATTGTAAATGTATCATTTAAATTTTAAGTTATCTTCTCAAATTAATGAATGTTATGCTATGCATAAATTCCCCATTGTGATATGTCATTTATAATGTTAATTCTCTCAAATGAGTTTATTAGAATTAATTATAAATGACAATGATTCTGATATTGTTCTATAATACCATTACAGGGTCTTCATTGTGATTTTGCTTGTTTAATGTTCAGTCACTTGATAAATAAACCTTCCAAGGAGCGAATTATCAAAATAATTAAAGATGCGGTCATGATAGAACAAGAGTTTCTAACAGAAGCCCTTCCTGTTGCCTTAATTGGAATGAATTGCAACCTCATGAGACGCTACATCGAATTTGTGGCAGATCGCCTTCTGGTTGAGTTGGGATGTGGCAAGGTGAGTAGCATGATGTCAGACATTTTATTGTCTTCAACCATTAAAACTTATTTTCAATAGGTATATAATGTTGAAAATCCATTCGATTTCATGGAGCACATTTCTTTGGAAGGAAAGACAAATTTTTTCGAAAAGAAAGTGGGAGAGTATCAAAAGTGTGGAGTGATGGCGAAAAAAGAAGAACAGTGCTTTACAGTTGATGCAGATTTTTAAATTCCAGCTTTTTTATTTTGCACACATGTGTATATGTATATAAATTAAAAATATTCCAGAGGAATATTTATTTTGTATAAACATCACCTCTAATATTATACAAAAAAATATAATTTTATGAAAAAAACTTGTGTTTTGAGAATAAAACTTACAAAAAGATTTTAAATAATTTTAGTTATATTAAGTTAAAGAAGTTGTATGTGTAGTGACATTATACTTTTTTATTGCTAAATTATAATAAAATATTGTATCATAATCATACACAAACTGTACAATCTATTTCAATATAAAATTCTATAAAACATTTGAACTACTCAATTCCTCATAGTGCAGTAGTCTCTACAGTTTGACACTCTGCAGGTTGGTATGTGTGAAATTTTCATGTTATCACTTGTCAATGTAAGTGACAGAGAGAGAGAGAGAGACTGGTATAAGTGTATAGTCCAAGCATGGCCAACATACAGCTTGTAGACCAGATCAGGCCTGTCTAATGAGTTTATGTGGCCTGCGATTAATCTTTCAATATTAGCTACTCAAGTCCGAATAGCTCTACGAAAAATTCTGACGCCTAAAAAAAAAAGGTCAACAACTCGCTGTGTGTTTAGAGTTAACACTCCATTACAAATGTCTTAATTAAGCACAGCATAAATGATAATGTGAAAAATGTATCTGTAGTCTCTATGGGGAGACACCACAATGAGATCTCACACCACCTCAAAATCTTTCTAGGGCAGCCTCTGGTTCGGCCCATGAAAAAAAAGTTTTCTTTCCAATTCGGTTCGGGGGCAAAAACTGTTGGCCACCTCTGGTATAGTCAGTCAGTCACTAGTTGTTTATTGCATATGCAGTTGGCAAAACAGTCACAATCATGATTAATACAATAAACTAATCTGTGAACCAAGTGCTATTTTTTTTTTTTTACTGTACTATACATATATAATATGTAATTCCAGTAATCTGACTGGGTGTCAGATTGTCCAATATATGTCAGATTACTAAACAGAGACTACTATACTCTGTAAAAGGACCACAATACCAATGGAGGTGGTTTTTCCTGCTTTTAGTTCTCATATCCATTTTGGACTTTGTTAGTCCAACAATTCAAGTTTTATGTCCATTTGGTTTTTTATGGTTCAGTGTGATTTCTACTTATGTGGCAGACTTGTCATCTATAGTCAATTTCTTCCCACACATCCAGTGTAGCATCTCTAGTTTCACTTGAGCAACTGCAGCAGTAATTTGAATTTGGAATTGGGTCATATTTATAGGTATAGGGTTGCATGTACTGTACAGTACATGCAACCCTATACTGTACAGTACATGCAACCCTTTAACAAATTGCCAAAAGAAAAAATTGTTAATCTGGGGAACAAAGTAGTCATGCCATCGATGCATCCTGACCAATCCACCCTCCTGGGAATTACATCAAGCACTGCAGTGGGAGTTTTTGGTGCAAAAGTTTGTAATTGAAACTTGATGTCTTAATGTGTGTAGCTAAATCTGAATTTCTATCAACATTTATATACAGGGTGATTTCAAAATTGTTCTAAAGACAATTTTGAAACACCCTGTATATAAATGTTCTGTCAAAAGTTGCAAAATTTATTTCTTAGTGTAATTTCTTCATTTTTAGACTTTAAAATTATACTATTTTAAAAATTATTTGAATTACAAAATATTTTATACCATCTTTAGTCAGTTAATCAAAGTATTTTTGAAGAGGATGACCATATTCCATTGACTCTTTCCTGTAGATTTCTGATGAATTTTTTTTTTTATTGAACAATTGAATTTTCATTATTTAATAATGTTATTCAATAGAAATGAGATTTATTTTTAATAAAATTTTATTTAACTTTTATAATCATTTCTTATTGTTATAATCAAGAATCTGGATTGATAAAAGTTAAGCATTTCTGAAACAACAAAATCTCATTTGTATATAATTTTCTATATTAATTAGCTTTTAGTACAATACTGGTATCCTAAATTAATTGACAGAGTATGAGAAGAGCAAAGGGGTGCCACGAAATTTAAAATATTAAGTGTAATAAGATCCATTTAGGGTATAAAAGTTAAAAAAATATTTTTAATCCATTTTTATTAATAATTTTATCAAATCTTACAATTAAATGTTTGAATAAACTGAAGTAAAATGTTAAAAGAGCAATGTCTTATACAGAATATAAAAAGATGATAAATATTGATTTTACACAGTGTAATTATGAATACCTTATATAATTTTGGGAACTTTAAGAATTTGGATGTGTTTCATAGAATATATTGTAAAGTTCAGGCATCTCACAGTTATTATGGACCTCAATTCTGCAATTGTACCGTTAATCATTTGATTCGTTATGGACGTGGAAATAAAATTAAGTTTTTTGGGATTTTTATTTTATTTTTAGCACTATCACACATTTAAATGAGTGAAAAGTGTTTTTTTGGCTTTTATATGCATTGGCATATAATTTATTTCGTTCTGTAGGCATTAAGAAGGTCTTTTTTGATGCCGTTCTGGTTTGGCCAGGCCCGTAATGGGACACCGGATTTTGAGAGATGCGGTCCGATATAGATCACTTTCCGGAAAATCCTCCGAGATGATTTTCTCTCGGAATCGATCTCTGGTTCCTCAGAGTGGTCGAAGAGATTAAAACTTAATACCCCGTTCGCACCGAGCATTTCAATCTAGATTGTGATCAAGGTTGGCGACTATGCCTTGGTGCAACCTCTCTTGACCGTTTCAATCGCGATCGACTCGAGAGTTCTCGAAACTAGATCCAGTCATAAGAGAGATCCCACAATCTCGCGCGCGAGAAAATACAGGATGGCTGCGGAACTGTGTCGGGCTATCAACAGAAATAAAAAAGATACTGTATTTGGAGAGACTATGACATATGTCTATTATTAGATATATGGCAAGAAAAAGTACTGTGTGTATTTCTAACCAAAACTTTCATTTTATTTGTTGGTGTTCGTGACTTACCTCTTAGTTATGTCTGTTTTATCATTGCGTGTAATAGCCGGGTTCTTCTCAAGCGGACTGCCTGTGCGAACAGCACTGACGTTCGACTGGTGGCAGTCACAATCCAGATTATAGGTAAATCGCGATTGAAGTGAGTCGTTGATTGTGTGCAAACGTAGTATACCGCCTCAACCTCTTCGGCTTTCGGACTATCATCTGTAGTGTATTGGATGTCGTGTACGAAAACTCATTTTTACATTTTCATAATTAGCTCTATAAACAAAAAACTTGCTCAAATCTAAATATATATAACTCAAAGGTGACTGACATAGTGATCTATCAACGCACAGCCCAAACCACTGGACGGATCGGGCTGAAATTTGGCATGCAGGTAGATGTTATGACGTAGGCATCCGCTAAGAAAGGATTTTGATCAATTCTACCCCCAAGGGGATAAAATAGGGGATGAAAGTTTGTATGAAACTTTGTCAATTTTAAACCGATCGGGCTGAGACTTTGCATGCATAAAGCTACTATGACGTAGGCATCCCCTAAGAAAGGATTTTGATAAATTCCACCCCTAAGGGGATAAAATAGGGGATGAAAGTTTGTATAAATCTTCTTAGATTTTCGACTGATTGAACTGAAATTAAAGATTGGAGCTACTATGATGAAGACGTCCGCTTAAATAGGATTTTGATAAATTCAACCCCCATGGGGATAAAATAAGGGATGATGGAGGATGTAAATGTATTAGTTTGAACCTATCAGTACCTAATGGAACGAATAAATTAAGACGAACAAAATAATTTTTAGTTCTAAATGTTGACAATAGATGGCGTTAGTAGTATTTTAAAACGCGCTATCGTTGTGTTTTCACTGAGTTACATATACCCGATGATGAGTGGCCGCCGTATCTAATAGTACATACTATACCTAAATATTTCTAGCGGATTATATTTGATGATTTTGGCTGTTCTTTTCTTGGCATATTTTGGATTGCATTTGCTTTGTTTCGGTTTAGTAGTTTTGGTTATAGACTCTGCTTTGTATTTGGCATTTGTTTTGTTTTCGTTTGGTTTAAGTATAGGTTTTGTCGGTTAGACTTTTTTCAAATGGCTAAAGAAAATCTGAACGTTAATGGAGAAGTTGAAGAATGTTCTCTCATGGACAGTTTTATGTTGCTTGCTCACGAGTAAGTTCACCCAATAGCTTGATACTTTTAGCGCCTAATGACAGATTAGTTAAGAATATTGTGTACAAAGAAGTTTTGTAGGCCCTAATTTTTTACACACGCTAAACAAAAGTAAAGCCGCAAAAACTGTACCTAATTAATAATAATACTTCTTAACGCGAGCGAAGCCGCGGGCAAAAGCTAGTGAAAAATATAACTCTTATCCGAACAATTTTAAAATAAAATTTAAAAAATTGTTCAGATTTCTACCGGGGTTATTGCTCTGTTTTAAAAACCCAGATCTGGGTTTTTCGACCTCTTTGTTTCTAGGTTGTTTTTTTCTAATTTTCATAAAATATGGGTTTTTTAAATATGACTTTACATATACAGTAGAGTCTCGATTACCCGACATAAACGGGCAGCAAAACGCCGGATAAGAAAAATGTCAGATAATAGGGAAGAATTAAGAAAAAGTTTATTAACATCAAACTACTTCATACTTTTAAAAATTAAGCACCTAAACATTGTATTTTACAACAAATCAATAGAAAAAAAAATCAATACACAGTAATGTTATACAGCCATTTGTACTATGAACATTGGTTCTTTATACCATTTGGTTGTTTCATTTTTACATATATAGTAGAGCATCGATTATCCGAATCGATTGGGGACGGGTTCGGAATATCGATGTTTCGGATAACCGATTATATACGAAAAAATATATTAATTTATCCCATCTTGACATTTTTCTCCGTTGCGTGTCGCTTCGCGTTGAATTTTCGTCGATGTTAAGCCTAACGAAGACTATTGTATCGTTAAAAATTATTTTTTTATTTTGTACAAACAAAATAAATATATTGA